TATGTATGTATGTATGTATGTATGTATGTATGTATGTATGTATGTATGTATGTATCTACCTACCTACCTACCTCCCTACCTCTTTGGTTCTTCGAGACAGGGTTTCTCTGTGTAGGCTTGGCTGTTCTTCCTTTCTAGACAAGACTCACAGAGATCCACCTTCCTGTGCATCCCTGAGTGCTGGGGTCACAGGCGTGTGCCACCACACCTGTCTTGGGCTGTTCTTTATTCGGATGCGTGGAGGGACCAGGTATTGATGCTGGAATGGCTTTCACTGGAGTGGCTTCAGCTGCCTTCCTTGCTCTGCCAATTGTATTATTTTACATTTTTCAATTATTGCTGCTTAACAACACTTATGCAATGCTTATAATATTCCTGTTACATAGCAAAACTTTACACACATCATAGTGTCGACATTTTATACTCACAGCAACCCTGTAGCTAGGATTGGTTTTTCTCATTTTACTACAGAAGAATTTAAAACAGTACTGTTAAGTGACTTGTCCAAGATCACATGCTCTCTGCCTCGGCATGGAGCCTGGAGGCTGACCACAGTGAGGGATTACAAAACAAGGTTATGATCCTCTTGTCCTGTAGAGACCCAGGCCTCCGCCTTCCTTCTTATCCACAGCTGTCCTGGGTGCATGTAGGCTCGCTTGGCCATGGTGCTGTGTTTATGTGTGGGTTTTGTGGAGGTGGGTACTGGCACCTGACAGTGAGCAGCCGTGCAGCTACTGTGCTGGGATATTTCTTAACATAGACAGGAGGGAACTCTGTACATATGTGAACATAGCTCATTTTAGCTGGAGGCCAGTCAGCTCTAGTGACTTAAAGCTGTATGTTATTTGTCCTCTGGCTATTTTCCCTTTGCCTGTTTCATTATTAGACTTCTCATCAGCAACAGAGAAAATGAAACTTAAACATCATTTTGGCCACTGGCTGATGAGCTTCTGATGAAAAAAAAAATTGAGCAAAGGAACAGGTTAAAATAAATGACAAAAATGAGATATTTAGATGGAAGAATTCCTTTACTGGAGTTTTTCTTCCTGAATGTTAGAACTTGTACATGTCACTCTTTTCTTTAGGGTTAAGAAGCACTAGCTGTACTCTGTCTTGGGAGCCTTTCTAGCAATCTTGTGGAAGTGTGTGGAGCTGTTGTTTCCATAACTGAAGCCATTACATTAATATTTAATATGGCATGTAGCGAGTTTCCACTGATGGTCCCATCATTTATTGATACACATTCTTCCTAGAATAATGAAGCCTCACTGTAGGGGTCATTTAGTCTCTAAAGCTTTTAATTAAGAATAAAGTTTGGATCTAGTCTGTAAAATGTAAGGTATGGTTAGAGAAGATTATCAGTGCTCAGACAAGCACACTTGTGTATGCACACACACATACACACACACACACACACACACACACACTATTTGGGTCTTATATTTGATAAAGCTTCCTTCTTATCCTTTTGTTTCTAAATTTTCTCCTTAGAATCAGATTTGTTAATGGAAGAGTCTGCGTTAAATCAGTCCATTGAAGACCCTGGAAAACTTAGTAGCCTACGGCGGAGAAGGCGGACCTTGAACCGAACAACAGAGACGGTTCCAAAGTTGACTTCTCCGCATTCTTCTACAGATTCAGCCTACGAGGCCAAAGGAGATGTTACAGGTAGCGGTTGCTGTTACATGAACAAAAACAAAACCAAAACCAAAACTTTAGCCTTAGGAAACATGAGGTGCCTCTTGTCTATGAGGGATGTCCTTTAAGGAAGTCTGCCTGTCTCTCCTTTTTGATAATATTTATTATAATTTCTTAACAACAGCTACTATAGAAGCCTAAAGGAACAGTTGGGACATGGCAGGCATATGGCTAGTAGAGTATTTTATTTGGCCCACACAACATTTATAAGTTTTTAAATTGGCTGAACTAGTACAAGCCTTTAATCCCAGCACTCAGAAGAGGCAGACAGATCTCTGTGAGTTTGAGGCCAGCCTGGTCTACCTAATGAGTTCCAGGCTAGCCAAAATTACATAGTGAGATTCTGCCTCAAAAAGAAAAAAAAATGGATATTTAAATAAAAGCTCATGTCAGATGGCCCTGTACCAAGTCCATTCATAAAAGCAGTTGGTCAGGTCTGCTTAGAGCTGCTCCTTCTGACTGACTGTGCTGTCCAGCTGGCCTCTGTCCGCAAAAGGAGTCACTAATCCAAAGCTTCTAGGCAGCTCTCTCATTTATTTCCTACTTAACATCTACAGACATCTGACGTTTTACTATGAGTGCACTGTCGGGGGACAGCCTTGTCAAACGGCAGAGAGCGAGCTTGACTGACAGTTTTGCAGAGTCCTTTCTTTACTGTTACCCATCCCCCTCAGAACTCTGAGGCTGTCAGTCTCCTGTCCCCTTGCAGTACCAAGCCCCAGGTACACAGTTAGCTTTGTATAACTGTGTCTAACTGCTGATTAAGATCAATGGCTCTTTCATTTTAAAATGTAAAGGTTTATGTCACAGTGATTGGTGATTTTTTTTTTTTTAAAGGAGAGGAACACTGTGTATTAGCTCAACTCAACTGTTCTTAGCAGAGATAGTCCTTAGCTGTGTATCATTCTTTATGTATTGAAATGGTTATTTAATAATTTGTAACATCTCTCAAATTTGAAGAACTGCCATGGTTTATCTCATCGTAGGTTCCTTTCACATTTTACCCAGGGTACCATGAGTTTATGCTGAATCATTTTATCTTTACAAATTGTATTTCTCAGGTTAGTTTCAGATGGGTATTAGCTGTCGGCGGTGTTTACAGTCCTTGCTCTCACCTTTCACCTACAGGGAAGAGAAAGACTGTGGACAGCTGTGACACGGCTCTTATTGTGGTGATGAGTGTATTGTAAGTACTCGCTGTACTGCTTTTGTTTATGTCTTCACGTGTACTTAAATAGTTCCCCAAAGAATTGGAAGGCGTTTTTAGTTCTTAAAAAGGGATTTATTTATTCTTATTTTATGTGTATTGGTGCTTTGCCTGTGTGTCTGTGTATGCAGCGCTTATGCAGGGCAGAAGAGGGTCCTGGTCCCCTTGGAAGTGGAGTCACATACAGAGGCTGTGAGCTGCTATGTGGGTGCTAAGAACCAAACCTTAGGGCTTGGAAGAACAGCAAGCGTCCTTCACCTCCGAGCCACCTCGCCAGTCCCTGCATTTTTAGTTTACTGGTCGTCCTGACCATGTTGACCTATAAAAACAGTATGATAGGTTCTACTTTGATCGCTTTTGATATCATTTTTCAGAATTGTAAAATTTGAGGGCATCTTTCAAAAACAATCTGAATTCCTATGATGAACCCTCTGGGTTTTTATGAGAGGTTCCACAAATTTAAAGACAACGCATGTTGGTGAAATTCCAGTGAAATGATTCTACTTTGCATAAATAGATCAGTGGTTCTCATGTTTATGTGAATAAGAGGCATTTAGGAGTTTGCTAAAATGCAGATTCTTCAGCCCTAATCTCAAGTGTTGACTCAGTAGACTCTGAATAGTGATCAGGAATTTTTAAAAAATTAAAAAAATTTTAAAATGTCTTTTATGTGTATGGGCGTTTTGCTTGCAGGTATCTGCACATGCATGCTTGGTAACTAGGAAGGCCAAAAAGGGCGTTGGCTCCCCTGGGACTGACGTTACAAACAGTTGTGAGCAGTCATGTGGGTGCAGGACACCAAACAAGAGCAGGAGTGCTGAGTTTTAAAGCGCACACCCTGGGTTTTTCTGCTATGAATTATTCAAGCATCACATTGTGAAAGCAAGTAGTGTGAAGCCTGGAGAACCCTATAGGAGCCTGCAGAGCAAGTCGCACCTGAGAGCTCTAATTCTGCATGGCTGCATGTGACCTTGAGAGAGCCCCTGGTTGTGTGAGTTGTTTCTGACTCAGTGGCAGACTGGGTGATCGTTTTTAGAGTGACGCTCTTAGCTATTTTTCCTTAGTGCAGATGTCAGCACAAGCAGAAAATACTGGTTATGTTTTTTAGTGTTTGTTGCTGTTTCTGAGGTAGAGGCTTGCTCTGAAGTCTTGGCTTGCCTTGAACTATCTTGTGATCCTCCTGCCTCAGCCTCCAGTATGATGGGACAGTCTGCATACACCACTGCTCTCAGATCTCTCTTTGAATTTTAGAAAAAGTTTTCAGATGCTAATTAAATCAGTTTGCTATGACGTTTTTAAATGACAAATATCATTATATTACCTTGCAGGAAAAAAAATTATATATTACTTCGGTGCCATGATAATTTCACAGACTTGATTTCCTTGTTACCTTTAGCTTTTTCACACACCATATGTATCGATATACTTTTTCATTTTCTCTGTGGCCTGGAACCAAACCAAGGATTCTGTGCATAATAAGTAAGCATTCTACCACTGAGCCATCTCCTTAGACCCAATAAGTGTAATGTGAGGCGGGTAACTCTTTAAACAGAACAGAATAAAGACATATGATACTACTTATCAGTTTGTATGCATGTGTGATAAGGTCTGCATTAATTTGAAAGGCTGCTGTTAAAAACAAAACATTAAGTTTGCATGTAAAATTTTTATATTTACCATTATTAATATATGCTTAGGATTTATCTGGTACTTCCTTTGTTCAATATTAACAAGAAGAAAGTTATATATATATGTAAAATCTTCCACTGGGAATAAAAGATAATATTGCGATGTCCCTAAATTCAGAGGCATATTGATCTTCATTTTATTTTTAAAATGAAGTATTATGGGTGTATAATTGCTTAAGCCAACATAACCCAAAAATAGACCCTGCAAGCTTACCTGGTAGATTTCTAAACCAGTGGTTGCACAGCACTGGCTGGGATTCTAGTAGAGAAGAAAGGAGACAGGTCAGAGGCAACTTGGGAATTGAGGTTGTTCAAGGACTTTTCTTATCATTCACACTAGTCATTTTCCTTGACATCCATATGATAATTGATAGTAATTATGTCATATAATGAAATGGAGATAATTTATTTAAATAACTAGAAAATGGTCTAGATTATATACAGTAGGAAGCTTTTGCACATATAATATTTTACTCTCTTTTTGGTGGTGGAGGGGAATGTTGGGGCAGGGTCTGGTTGTAGTCAGGCTGCCTTGTGGTCTTGAATCACAGTAGATCTTCCTGCATCTATCATCAGGGCTACCTCTGAGGCCAGGCCTGCAGTACGGGTTAGTGGGGGTTAACCAGCTGTTATTTGCTCTGCACAGTTTGCTGCTGCTGGTTCTGCTGAATGTGACACTGTTTCTGAAGTTGTCAAAGATAGAGCATGCTGCTCAGTCCTTCTACCAGCTTCACCTCCAAGAAGAGAAATCTTTAAAGTATGTTTCCCACCCTAGCCTGCCTGTTTCCACCACCTGTTTCTTTGTCGTAGAAAACTTAGCTTTAGGAATTCTGGTCTGCTATATCTTGTAGTCATACATGCTTAGCTTTTTTTTTTTGCAGGGGGCATTACTTGGGGGTTGATTTGGTGTTTTCTTTGCAATTCATGGGACACAGTAATTTCTATAAATAAAAGAAAGATCTGGAGTTGTTTTCATCAATTTTAAGTTTTTGTTTTTCTTCCAGCTTAGTCTCTGATAGGTTCTCAAGAACAGAAAATATTCAGAACAAAGACCATGCCCACCATTTAAAAGGAGTGCTTCAAGATTCCATAGTGATGTTGGAACAGGTAGGCCGGTCTGTGCCTCAGGGGCTTGGACAGGGAGGGCCCCAGCTGGACAACCTTTAGATGTATGTACCTTCTCTACAATTGCTTAGTTACTGTCTCCGCCTGCTTCATCATTCTCACTTTTGGCTCATGGTTTCCTCCCACTCAGTGGGTGACCATGCCTTATAAAGAAGCTAAGCCGTCCTCTTCCATCTCTGCGCACACCTATTTGTTGTCCTATCCTCAAACCCCTTCATTCTTTGTAATCGGTGCTAGAAATGGCTCAGCACAGGGAACTCCATGCCTCGCACAGAGCCCAGGCTGAGACAGATAACCTGTGTTTGCTGAATGAACAGATGAATGAATAAAGTAAGGAATGAGATCTATTTCTTGGCCTCAAGTTGCTTCCAATCTTAACAGAGAAGTCGGGTTTCCTACAGGCTTTCAAACCTGCTCTTAAAAACACAGAATCAAGTAGTACAGGAGCGTGAAGTAGGGTGGTGTGCGAGGGGTTCAGAGGCAGGGTGTCCAGGGAAGATCCTGTGGGGTCAGTAGGTGTAGGTTAGCTTTAGAACTGTGAAGAGGACCCTGAGTGGGCTAGGAAGATGTGGCCCAGCCAGGAGGCTTGATGTGCTTGCTCAGTGGAGGGTGAAAGGACCACCGAGCCTTGAGAAACATCTAAGAAAACAAGCCTTTCCGTTTGGATCGTTAGATGGGCTTCCGGGAAAGCACGCTGCAGGAAAAACGGCAGTCCTCTCGCACCTGTTAAGATAACACTCTCTAGAATTCATGTAGCAGATACTAGAGAAGTGGGTATTTGATTGTCAGTGTTTTATTTGAGGACACACACACTTTTTGCAATAAAGTAATCGGCCAAAATTGAAGTCTGATTTTTGATCATTTATTTTATTTTTATTTTTTGCAGCTGAAGAGCTCACTCATTATGCTTCAGAAAACCTTTGATTTACTGAATAAGAACAAGAGCGGGGTGGCAGTGGAGAGCTAGTGCTGAGCTGTGGGAATCGAAGAGACACCTGGGCCTAGAAGACAACATCTGGAAGGAAACGAGGACGAAGACTCTCACTGTCGCAGGACATTTCTAATATTTTTATTACCAGGATTCCTACTAGGAAAACCTTATTTAAATAACATTTACTTGATGGTTACTCTCAAATAGCCTTAAGACTCTATCTTTTTACTTCTTATAGAGATTTTTTTAAGCTGTGAACTTCTCCAGTGAACCATGAAATATATTTTGGAATTGAAATTCTGAGACACAAAAGGGGAAGGAAGACACTCTGGGTCCTGTGGCTTCTCTTCTATAGTGAGGCCTGTTGTTGATCATTTAAACTTGTTAGTGGAGCCCCTGTGTGCCCAGTGGGTTGTGTTTCATAGCTGAGTTTAAGAGCCTAAAAAGCTAAAGAAGAAACCCCTCAATCATTTCTCACTTTCAAGGATCATTTTCCAAGCGCATACATTCCAGGTTTTGTGTCTTTGCATTTTACAGTGTCTTAACTGACTTGGCATGCCAAAGCCAAAGGCATTGCTAACAACATTTCTGAGAAGCCTGTAGGGAATGAAAATACTGACTAAAGGGAAAGGGTTTCTCTCCATGAGTCCCAGCTCATCTCCCAGGGGTGGGGTATAGAGTAATAACTCCTGTTGTTTTGTTTCTGATAAGGACATATGAAGTATCCGGCAGTGAGCAAGAGTGACTGGATCAGAACCTTGCAAACGTTAACTGTCAAAGTGAATGTTTTTGTGGTTTCTCTCAAACTACTTCATAATATACCTCAAAGATTACCCATGTTGCTTTGTAGATACAATACTAAATATGTGTTCAGAACTAATAAATTCTGAATCTGTTATAAAGATTGACTTCAGTAAAACCCAAAATGTCCAAGTTGTCATTTTTTTCCTTCTCTTTTCTGCTTAAAAACCAAACCAAAGCTAGAAAGCCTGGGGTAGGGAAAACCTGTACTTAGGCCCACAGTTCTTAACAGATTTGTGGGGCGATAAAAACCCAGAGAGGACTCTCTGGGCAATTCCACTGCAAACGCTCAGACTACTGAAACAAAGTAGCTGAGAGGCCTGGCTGGAAGGCAGACCCATCCTCCAGGACCCTCCCGAGCTTGAACAAGTTGGATAAACCTGGACATGGGGGCAGCAGCGGGCCTAACGGGAAGGAGGGCGACGGTGCAGACGGAACCCAGCGCCTGTTGCGGCCGCCGGCGAACTCCCGCGGTCGTCCGGGGCCGGGCCGGTCCCCCGAGGGCCCGGGCGCAGGTGCGGGCTGGCCCGGAGCGCGGCGGGGGAGGGGCCTCGGGGGCAGGCGGCGCACGTGCGGGCGGCGGGATCCCGGCGCCGGGGGCGGGGCA